CGGACGGATCCTCGCAATCTCCTTAGAGATTTGCTTCTGCCATCCGATGTCCTCCAAAAGGATCATCCTGTAGCCAGGGTGTCTCACGATCACCTTGGCTCCGGTCCTCTCCAAGGATCCGGGCTGGAACTCCGCGTTCGCCAGGACGAAAACCGTGGGCGCCTCGCCCGTCGTCGTCACTGACGGGAGTCCTAACGCCTACATCAGCAGGTCGTCGTGCGTGTTCTGGAGGAATCCTCAAACAGCTTCCCCTGATCCTTCCTCATCACCTTGAGGTCGCTCGCGTAGAGGTCAGGGAGCTCACCGCCCACGGAGTAGGCAGATCCTCCGCCAGGCGTGACGAGGAAGATCAGCATGTAGCGGCTCTCCCGCTCGCCACAGAAGACCCACTTACTGGGTTCTTCGTTCACGTCACGCCAGTCTCACGTTGAGGTGTTGGCCCACTGCACGGCAGTAAACTTCCTGTGCCGGCGAAGTTCACTTGGCGTTTTGTCCCAGCTGTTGCCGGGACGTGCGCGGAACGAAACTCGGACTGGGGGTCCGCCCGCGTGCCTGGTGTCAGGGTGCAAGCTCTGCTTAAAGGCTGCATCGCCGTGCTTTTTATGGCCGGCTATGATTTGATCGATCTGTGAGCCAGGTAGGCTCATTCGGGTCTTCCTGCGTAGCGATCAAACCCTGCCTCGCTTCTGCGTGCTGGGTCTCGGCCGGGTTGGACGTGGTGTGCGTTTGAGGACTAGGCACTCTGCTGGAGGCTCTCTTGTCCTTCCATTTCCCTTGGCCTTTACCCTTGGACCTGTCGGGCTGTGCCGATCTGGTCCGGTCACGCTGCGGTGGCCTGTCGTTGCTGCTGCCACCAGCGGTCTGGTCCACGTCGATTGGCTGCGCCTGATCTGCCGCCTGAGCGGTCGGATCTCCAGCTGGATCACCTGGCATGTCCTTCACGTCTGAGTCCAGCTGCAAGATCGCCTGATCGAGGCTGCGGTTGGCCAATTCGAGGTCGACGTGCCAATCCTTCTCAGTCCGTGCTCCGGATCTGAGGTCTGTGACCAGTGAGGTAACCAATGCGAGCGCGGCCTCGTACGTAAGGTACTTGTGCGTCACTGCGCATATCAAACTCACATGGTCTGTGTCAGAGCCATCAGACTCGTCACTTCAGTCAGCTTGGCTGGACTGAAGACAGAGTACACCCGGGACAGGACGAGGAAGCAAGCTTTCTCCAAGTCCTTCTCGTCCAGGGGCGCGAGCTGCTGGCGGAAGTCGTACACAGAGACCTTGGAGCCAGAGTCTGTCTCCAACATGACCCGGCCGTCTCTGAAGGATCAGCCGCAGCTGTCCCCGAGGGATCAGCTCCTGCCGTCCCAGCCGGATCGGCAGCGTCTTTCGTAGAGGCGTCTGCGGCTGGAGCTTTTTCCTTCAGAAATCCCGGAGAACCCTTCGGCTTCGGCTTCGGGTCGTCGGTCTTCTCGGGTGGCGCCGCCGTCTGTGGCCCGGCTGCAGCGGGTCACCACCCTGAGCAGTTCTTCTACCACAACGCCGTCGTCAGACCTTGGGCACGAAGTCGTGCCACTTCTCGGTCGCCTTGTCTATGACCTCGTTCGCTACCCTCTGTGCCTCTGGGTCGCGCCAGTTGCAGAGGTCGCAGATTCCACAAAGGTGCCTCCAGTTGGGGCCGTCCGACAAGTGGATAATCTCCGCCTCCACGTTGTACAGGTCCTTGATGATCTCCTGCAACAGCTTCGCATTGGCGACCGACCGGTGTCTTCCTGACTTGCAAAATGCAAAGATCACGGCGCTGTCCTGGTCTTGGATCAGCTTGTGGACTGCGGGGATTACTTCCTCCGCGAAAGCCATCCATTTGTGATTCTTGCGAGGATTCAAGATCATGTCATGGAGGTTCTTCGGGTGGGTCCCCAAGTGGTCTCTTGTAGACTTGTCCTTGTCAGGATCGTGCATGTCGCGGCAGTCCAAGAATACTATTTGATTGTCCGTAAAGTCCTGAAAACGACTAAAGTTTGTCCGAAGTGATTCCAGCAAAATATCCTCGTGCCGTTTCTCGTTCAACGAAAAGGTATACGATTTCTGCTTCGGAGAACCTTCAATCAACTTGGTGAGGCCGTTGTACACCTTGCGAGACCTGTGAGAAAACTCCAGTTTCTCAAGGCCAAGGGTCACCCAGAGGACTTTCTTCTGTTGGCTCTCCTGCTCGCGAACCAACTCTGACAGCATGTATGCTGAAACGCTCTCGTCCCTCAAAGGGATCGAGGCTTTCTCGTCCCTGCACGGGATCGAGACTGTGCGCCTTTCCTGGAGGAGCAGGCCGGTCTTCGAGTGCCTTGCCAGCTGCAGGTTCCCGGCGTAGCCGGAAATCTGGCACACACCGCGCCTCAAGTCCTTGACCAGTCCAAGCTGAACCTGGTCCTGCAAGGACAAAAGGCACAGCACGTCCGGCGAGTCCAGCTCCGTGCTGGAGAGCTCGCCCTGCAGACGCGTGCTGCGGCGCTTGCTGCCAGTCTCTGGAGAGATCTGCAGCGCAAAAGGCATCACGTACTTCCCCACGGCCTTTGCGGCACCAATCCCCTTAAAGGACGTGCCGGCGGACTTCAGAGCGTTAAAGCGGAGCCCAAAACGTGCCAAGACACCTTCGCTGTGTCGTCTCCACCTTGTTCCATGGCACGTCTGGTTGCAGCCCTCGTCCAGCATAACCCAGAGACGTTCTCGTGGTCCTGAAAAGGATCCACCAACGGGAGTCGCGGTTTCGCGATCTCCTCTTCCAAAGGAGCGGCCAGCTCGCTGTCGCTGCTGGCGTTGCTCTTCGGACTGATGTCCCCTAAGGGATCATCGCCTTGCTGCGCTCCCTCGGCAGCTCCGGCAGCAAGGTCCAGAGTGATGTCCCCTGAGGGATCATCCTTCTCTCCTATCGCCTTTCCGGCGAACTTCTCACGGCCACCACAGCCCTCTCCGCTGGGTGGCGACGCCGCCATGCGCGCGGCCCCTCTACTAGAGGCACAGCTGCGGAGGCGGGCGTCTGCTCAAGCTGCGAAGCGCTTCCACGGGTCCTACGCACAGGAGAGAAAGCAGGCAACCCTGTCACGTTCCATCCTAAACCTCGTTTCCTCAACAACATGGTTCATGGCATCCTCAAGAAAACTGGAAAGCTCTGTGGAGGTGACCTGCTCAGCCTTCATCAGAAATTTGTCTATATGCTTGAAGAATCGTTTGACCACGTCTCCTGCCTCGAACTTCGTGAAGGTGGATTCCTCAAGTTGTCGTCTTGTCAAGTTCTGAACCTTCAGCGGCGAGTTGAGTACCTGTTCGGAAAGGCCTTTGTTTTGTTTGAACAGTTTCTGTGGCACTTCCTCGATTACAGTACAACAGTCGAGGCAAAACGTTCTGCGCCCTGCCCGCGTGGAATTCCTATTGTCTGTTCGCAGGTGCTAGGATCCGACTTTGCTTGTGGCTTGGGCCGTGGGACAGAAGTCCTGTGCCCACAAAGCATACAGGTGGCTTTCATAACATGGGCGTTGCTTCCTGCCCGATTATAAGTGCATGTTCGGGGCAACCACCCTGGCACGGCCCTTTAGGGTCCGCGCGCAAAAGCCCAAGCTTACTCTTCGGCGCCTTGTCCAAGGTCACCGCTCTTCTCGCCTTCTCGAGAGTGTCCACCTCCACCGGCAGCGTGACAGCCCTGAACGTCGGCCCTCCACCACCAACGGGTGGAACGTTGAAGTTCCGATACACCCATGCCTCAAGCATGGTGCTCGGCTCTTTCTCCTTGAGGCCCCAGTGGTAGTAGTCTGGGTGGTTCTGCACAACCTCAAGGTAAGTGCTGCCCTTGTGCATGAAGAAGCGAAACAGCTGTTCGCTGCCGTCTGGGTACTGTACAGTATCCCATTCCGTGGAGGGAGCGACGTAGTTCGCCGCTGCCTCGGGCTCGAAACTCTGGCTCTCGCTCTCACTGTCGGAGAGGCTTGGAGTGCCTCCTAGGCTGCAGGTCTGTGTGGACTTATCCATCACTGACGGCTTTCCTGCGCCTTTTCCCGGGCACTCGCGGTCTCCGGACTAATGGCCCTTTCGACCGCACGTCTTGCAAGTGCTCCGGAGCTTTATCTCCTGGAGCTTGCGTCTGCGGTCTTCCACCGTCAGACCCGTAGCCCTAGGGCGGTAGCCGTGCGCACCTTTGGTGCTCACAGGCTTGCCCTTGCTGCGCGCCATGAAAGCGACCGAATCGCTTTGCACGACGTCGGCCAAAAAGGCTAGGCTTTCACGGTCGTTCTCGTCGAAACCTTCAGAACAAAGAAAGGAAGTGAAGACGTCAAGCTCGACGTCCCTTAGGGATGCGTCGGCTGTCTGGGCCACCAGCTCGGTGTCGTCGTACGCTTCGTCCACGGGACCTTCGTCTCCATGGTACACCCAGTCGTCTTGTTCTCCCTCATCGGCCACGAAGGCCGTACCATCTTCAGCGTCGTCCTGATAGGAATCGAAAAGATCTTCGACCGCGGAAAGGTACGTGTACGAGGTTGCCTTCTGGGACCAATTTCCGTATCCTTTACCCTTACCTTTGCCTCCCCTAAAGGGATGGCCTTTGCCCTTGCCTCGGTCACCTTTGGTGCCGGGCGTGCGTCGCTCCAACGTGTGGATGCGACTGTGCATCTTGATCAGCGCTTTCTCTGCGTCCTTTGTAGCGGTAGAGCCGCCCATGGACGTCAGGACCATCAACCGCTCATTCCGGTTGAGTCCCGGGTTCTCCAGCAGCAAGTCTGTGAGGACAGCTTCGCGGATATGCGTCGCTTTAACCAGCTGCAGGAGCTTCCGTAGCCAACGTTTTCTCCTGTCGATGTAGGATACCATCGGCCCCCTTGGCTGTCGCGACAGCATTCCTCCGACCTGCGTACCCAGGCGGTACAACTCCTTCGACTCTTGCTCCGGGGAAGAGCCTTTCTCTCACCGCTTCCACGACCTTGGGGATGTTGTCGTTCGAAAAGAGGATATCTGCCCCCAGGTCCTCTGCTATGATGTATGCCTCGCTCCTTAAGGAGTCGAGGAACTTGGAGGCGAGCTCCGAGCGCTCGTCCACCTTAGTCTGCTTCCACCGTGTCATAGCACGGAACTCCCATTCGTGAAAATCACGAACGGTTCCTGCATAGACCAGGAAGCCGAACTTTAACTTTGTCAGGTCTGTGTCCAGATCCTGATGTGGTCGATATGCCAGCGATCCACTAGCCATTGCGACCTACACCCGCGCAGGGGCGTACTATTGGGCTACGAGCTCTGGTTCTCTTAACCGAGAGCTCCGCTACCAGTGCGAAGACTAGTCACTTTTCCGCTCAGCCGTTGGCTTGGTCCAAGGGGCGCCCCTGCGGTCAGAGGGTGCTTTCAAGCTGTACAAACTATGCACACACACACACTGTATGCGCACTGCAAAATGGGTCGGTTTCACGCCTACATACAGAGGTCTAGCTGGTCTAGCGGACAAGAAGAGAGGTTGGCAAGAGTCTGCTCTACTTTGCCAACGAACCTTGCTTTCTGCAGCAAAGGAATGGGCCACTGCTCACTTTGCTTCAGTCGGGGTCCAGCATGGCTATTTGCCTAGACCCTTATACATGCTTCGTGGCTGCCCGTTGACTCTTTTGATTGCAGGGAAACCCAAACCATCAATGTCAGGCGCGTCGCTGCTGAGACATCCCCAACCCTCATGGAGGTTTGGGACAGCTTCTTGTCATCACGGCTCGTTCCATGCTATACTTCTGATTTTTGACCATTGGTCTTAAGCGGTGCGCCTCCGGCTGACTCAGCTGCCATTCCAGCAGCCACTGCCCGCTCCTCATTGGGCAGCAAGTTGGCAGCGATTAGCACACCGCCTTCAAAAAAACCCTCGCATCACAGGGCCCCCCGGCCACGGATGCCGCACACCAGCATGCGGATCATGCGGTATCCGGAGCTCATGCCCCGCTACGGGTGTTTTCCGTCCATTATTGCGGGTTGTTCTGTACTTCGAATGTGGCTCCACATAAGCACATCGGAGATTTTGCTCTTGCCGGGGCTCCGCCGAGGAAGGCCAACTAGCTAGTTCTGTTTACATCCTGGCCTTTCAGGCCCAAACTCTAACCCATTGAAGCCCGAGCACTGCGCAGAAAAGCAAAACACACTTTTGCTCCAATCTCCGGGCATCCTGTACAACCAAGCTGATTCCTCGAGTTCCTACATTGTCAGACCGAGGAACTCAGGAAACGAGAGAACGAACTCCGGGAAAGCCTGTTGCTAAATACGTTGAAACGGCCGACCATGCCTTGCAAACGGATCAGCGGATCTTGCTGCGCAAGCCCGGCGGGCTGAAGACTCTGTATTCATTGGCCGGCTTCAAGCGGTGGGCGGTCACGTCCACAAAGTCACCAAGCAGCTCCCCATCTTCGTCCCCACCACCGCCTGTCTGGCGGGACTCGAGGTTGCTGAGGCGGTCTTGTTCACGGAACTCTTTCATGATTTCCTTCCGCTCCTTGCGCATTTCCTTGCCCGAGCAGCCTGCCGGATGGACGTTGGACTGGTTCAGCCTTCCTTGCTGCAGCGTCGGCTTCTTGTCCTCCTGCTCTGCCACTTTGGCCAACTGCTCTTCTGCTAAGCTGGCGAGGAATGCAAAGTCAGCGGAGTTTGTGCTCTTCTTGTCCGCCGCCTTGGCGGACATGCAGCGTCTCTCCAGCTCCCGGATCTCCTTTGCCTTGGCAGAACGCAAGTTCTTATTCTCCTTCCCGAGGAGTTTCGAAAGCTCTGCCCGCGCAAGCTTAAGTTCTGCTTCAAGGGCTTCTGCCTCCAAACTCATGTCGCTCGGTGCCAGGGCGGGTTGATATCCGAGAGATTTTGAAACGTTTCACAGCTGCGCAATGAGATGGTTACCTTAGACATGCTCCAGCTGGCAGCCTCTCAACGTCACTCAAGCTATATATTCTGGAATCTGTTTGTCCTTCAACGGAGAAAGTCGCCGTTGTTGTAGTAGTGGTTGTCAAAGCTCCTCAGCTCATCCGCTTAAATAGCTAGGCAGTACAAGTCTGAATATTAAACTGACTCATTCTTGCAGTGAGAGTCACGTAGCTACACCCTGTCACCCCTAAGACTACTTGGACCTTCCCTACTCGCCACTTGCCAATGTCTTGGTCGCCGGGCCACGACGCACGAAAAGACTGAACCCGCACATTCTGCGGGTGGATCAACATACAAACTGGCCAGAGCACTCCTCATGAAAAAAACCTTCAACTCCAGAGCCCCCAATCACGCCTCTAGAGTCTGTCACATATATACCCGCATGTGGGTACGCCCAAAGCCAACATGTCAACGTAGACCCCATCGCCACGATTGTATTCGTGATGCTGGCTCTCCCAGCCCTCTCCGCTCCAACAGCCAAAAGTCTCCGAGAGCCAGACGTTCATTTGCAGCACCGTGCGGCGCCTGAAGGCTCCCGTAGTTGCTCTGGCCCAAATCCAGACACAAGACAAACACATAATCATGCATGTGTAATCACAGGTGATACTTGGGGACACCGGTGACAAATTGCCTGCAAGAATCCTGGCATGAAATCCGTGCGTCTAGCCTCAAGTGTATCACGCTCAATACCCTGTTCTACTCATCTTAAAGCTCTCCGCCCCTGTCAGTTGCATCTTATACAGGAACCAAACGCACCCGCAAACCATGACCGCATGAGACAACTTGGTACCTGGCACCTCCAGTCCTGCTCACACATCGTTCACGAGTTCGAAAACCTGAACCTTCAACCCCAAACCCTAAAACCCCTAAACCCCTGAACCCTGAACCCCTAAACCCCTGAACCCAGATCTCGGCCCGAGACCTCCCAGTGGTGATCCGGAACCAGCTGCTCACAGAGGCAGCTGGGCCAACCAGTCGGGCCATGGAGTTGTGTGACACGTGGCTGGAATGCACTCAGCATGTGAAGGCGTGGGTTCCTCATTTTTCGAATACTTCGTGGCATCGCAGCTATGCTATATACTTCCTGTGCTCTGGGTTTACGGATGAGATGGTGCACGGACACATCATTGATCCCCAACTCCCTGGCCTGGGACAGTGTGCAGGCATACGTACCTTGCGTGTGACTGATGTTCGGATTTCTTTCCTCATGAGGCAGCGCACTCGCTTTGAGGCAGGGCAGGTGTATGTTGTCTTCGGCAGCTTGGCACCAGTGTGGCACCCGGAGACAAGAGAATGGATGGGCCAGCTCCCACGTCGGACCCCTTTTGCGGGGGCCGTGAAGATTGCTGGCCAGAGACCAGCCCACCGGGAATACCGTGTTGCTGAATTATATGCCGGGGCTATGGGTGGATGGGCAACAGCTGCTAAGGAACTTCCTCAGTGGACAGTCGAGGTGTCTGTTGAGTGTGACAAGCAGGCGGCCTCCACATACTGCCTTAATCATCCTTGCTTGGTGTGCCACGATCCTGGAGACTTGATTCAGAGGCCTGATACAAGGCCCCTTCTCGCTCTGGGTGAAATTGAGAATCTGTTGTGGACAAACTTGTTGAACTTGGTGGATGTGAATGTTTTTACCATTTCCTCCCCATGCCAGAGTTGGTCCAACATTGGCTCGCGATCCGGCACAGCATCACCGAATGGCCGTACATTGATGCATGCTGTGCAACTTTGCCGCCTGTTGCAACCCTCCGTGGTCCTCTTTGAGCAGGTGGCTGGTTTCCGTCAGCATGATGAGTTTGATCAGTTCATGCAAGCAATGCAAGAAGCAGGTTTCAGGGTGGCTACCAGTGGGGTGCATGATCTGGAATTGATTTCATACACTACCAGGCGGCGGTGGCTGGCAGTGTTTGTGAACACCCTACATGTTCACAGGTGGGACATCCTCGGCAAGTGGCTGCACCCTGTGGTCAGAGCATGCCCCACCTATCAACCAGAGGAGCACTGCATTGCCTTGTGGACAGAGGAACAAAGGAGTGTTGTCTCAATCAAGGAGGCTGAGTTCCAGGTCCTCAATGATCCAGACTTGTTGCCTCGATGGCAACGAGGTGCCCCAGGGGCACAAACAGGAGCCCTACCTTTCCGGGTGCAAGGCGCGGGCATGACGCTCCCAACTATCGTGGCCTCTTACAGGAAGTCTGTGGAGATACCAAAGGACCAGCTTCTACCGGCAGGGCTCATGTCGTGGATTATTCGAGATGCCTACGGGGATATCAGGTGGATGGGAAAGTTCGAGGCAGCAGTTGCGCTTGGTTTCCCAGCTACCATGGCTCTTCCTCAAGATGAACGAGTGGCCTTCCAAGCTGTGGGAAATGCTATATCTCCCCTGCAGGCCCTCCTGGTCATGACAGCAGCGCACAATGCTTGCCAAGCTCAGCAGGCGGACCCTGGCGAGGACCTTTTCCAGCCTGCAGTGTCAGCGTTGCGCAGCCGCACCAACCCCATGGATACCTATATGATCCGGGCCTTCGGCATCCATCATGAAGCTGTGGTATCGCGCCTCCATAATCCCCAGTATGACCTTCGATGCCCTCACTGCCGCCAGCAGACTTCACAGCCCTTGCTGTTGGCATGCATCGAATGCTGTATGGTTGCTTGCCACCGGTGCATTTCGGAACAGTGCCTCCCCTCGCACTTTCAAGTGGTGCAAGCCAAGCGGCTCGAGGATGAGGGCAATGAGCTTCAATCGGAACCGGTGTTGGCCGGGGCCGCATTGTATACTGCCGAGGATTTGGACACGGGCTTCATCCATGAGGTCAATTGCTTCCGGACGCCGGACTTGGGGGCGCTTGTTATTCATGAGGACCTCCACTCCCAGACCAGGTTCTTCCACAACCAAGAGATGATCCAAGACTACTACCGGCCAGAGCATGGCACCCACGTGCACTTCAAGAGGTTCCTTCGCCAGGATGATGCCTGCCCCCTTTGCTTGACCTTCGGCATGAACACGCAGCTCCGGATATGCCTGTCTTGCAAAAGGATGGGCTGCAAGCTATGCATTGTGGATAAATGTGACAGGTGCACCAACGGCAAACTTACATGCCGATCCTGCCATGAGAAAGCTGCTGACAGCAAACTACGAGCCTTGCACGAGGCAGTCACTTTGCAGGTGGAACAGGACACTGTTCCAATCATCCCAGCTTGGGACTGGACCCTTGTCTGTGACATTGAAGCGGAGTGGCAACTCTTGACAGTGATGTGCTTCCCTACGGGCAGGGCGACCATCAAGAGATCTCAGTATTATGATGGTAGCCACATCACCGCTACCATTCGGGCCATGGGGTATCAAGTTGAGGATGCCGTGCAAATCTTTTGGGGTGACTCTACCACCCCCAACCTCCTTAAGGCCATCGACTCCTACATCATGGTGATCCCCACCTCCTACTTGGTCTCGGGCCTAATTCCTGTCATCTCTCGGAGCCCGACAGGAGAGAGCATCCGGATGGTGCGTCCGACACAAAGCGGAGAGGCCTGTCAACATCAAGTGCTCTCCCCTGATGAACGGGATCGAGGCTTCGTTCTTGCCCACGGGGAGCACAACCTTGAGGGTGAAACGGTCTTCACTTTACGTGCTGGAGACACGATCCGCAAAATCCCTCCATGGCGAGAACAAGAGAGATTCCTTGAAGCACCCGATGAGGGAATGGAGGTACTTGATGAAGTCATGGAAGTCTCTCCGGTGGCGCAGATCCCCACATCTGGTTTGGGCGGGACTATGCCAGGCACTATCACCAATTGGTGCGGAGTTGTTATGCTGGACGGCCGCTTTCAGCCTCTCCCTCTTCCGTGGCCAGGCCAAACGTGGGCAGATTGGGTCGCCCACCTCCCACTACCAGCAGTGGACCGACTATGGGCTACATGGAATGGTCGGGTGATTGACGCGCACTCCCCCCTCGAAGGACGTCCTATTCTTCTTCGACTACATGCCCGCTTGCCAGGCGGAGCCAAAGGAAGCAATGCTCGAGGGGATGCCACTTCCAGGAAATTGGCCTCCCATTTGGAAGCCAAGGGTGTCCCTATCTCAGTGGCACCAGACAGGGCTGAGGCAATCATTGCTGCCGTCGGCCTGCCCGCTGTCCAAAGTGCCTATGAATCTACGGACCCTTGGCGAGCTCTCAAGACAGCTGTGGGCACCAAAATCAGGATGGTCAAGACTGAGGAGGTGAAAGCTTTCAAGCAGAAACCGGCAGCCTCAAGCGACAACCGAGGCCCAGACCCGTGGCAGCTTGCCGACCCATGGCAACAAGAGCCCAAGCTACCCAAGGAAGGGCCCAAGGTGTGCATTACTTTGGCGCACGGCCACTTCGTCGACCAAGGCGGTGATCCTTTAGCCATTCTTCATCAGTTGGTCGCTGAAGGCAAGGGAGTGGCGCTCAGCAGTACTGAGGAGGTGCAAACTTTTGCGACGGCCAACTATCTCTTGTCGGAAGAGGAACTGGGGGCTGTTGTGGTGGCACCACAGCAGCCGAAGACAGGTTCTTTGGAATGCCGAGAGATTTCTTTCCCTGCTATGCATGGAGAGGACAAAGTCTTGCTAAAGGGCTTCCTCATTGATTTCGGGCAAAAAAGGGTCCGCACCAAAGAGGCCGTGCACCGAGTGGACCTGGAGCCCCAGAACACAACAACCATGGCCATCGAGGTACGTAGGGAGTACCAGCAGAATTGGGACAATGTCGCCAAGAACCCCATGAGATTTGTCTGGTCGTGCATTGATGGTTTGCAAAGGAATGTTGTGTCTACTTGGTCGCGAAAATTCTTTTCTGGCCGTCGCGAGAGCAAGCCAGATGTGGCCTCCACTTGGCACATGTTCCTCAAGGTACCCGGAGACGCCATCGAGCCCTTCCTCCGCCTCTCTGGAAGGTGCGGGATCTTCATCACGCCCAAGGCCAGCGAGACCAACAATGTTGCAGGTCACTACAGGGTGATCTGGCTGGATCATGCTGACCTCGAGAAGGCCCTCACACTCCAGAGAGCCCACCCAGAGATCATCGGCCTCGTTCGGGGCAGGGACACACTCGGTGTCAGAGTGAAGGTCGGGGATTATTCTGCTACAAGGGTGAAGCTTGAGCCAACATGGTCTTCCCAGGGCCTCCTCACAGATATCGTCGTGGAACAGAAGTGGGTTGTGGCCCCGCTGCCCGCCCACTCAGACCGAGGCTCATTGCAGCAGGCTCTTATCAAGTTGCCTTGGCGAGCGGTACCTTTGAAGCAACTCTCCGCTACCACTTGGTTGGTAGGCAGCTCCCTTGCTGCCCCGCCCCCAACGGATGTCATCGAGATTGGTGGTCAGCCGGTGCTCATCACTAAGCAGACAGCCAAGGCCACCAGGAATACCGATCAGGTTGTCCTCGCGGCCCCCCCAGCATTCCGGAAGTCCTTCAACACCGAGATCAACAAAGGTAGATGGCAGACGCCTGCTACCGTGGTTTCACAGTCCGAGGCGGCGATGGAGCAAGCGTCTGGACCCCCGGCGACCGCCAGAACTCTTCTCGCAGACTTGCGTGATGAGGTCAACACTCGCTTGGGGGATTTCCAGGCCCAGATCCAGACAGCGGTGAACCAAGTCAACGTCCGTGTGCAAGAGGCACACGACCTGGCGTCCACAGCAGCCATGGAGGCCGAAGCCCTTGCGACCAAGCAGGATCATCGTATTCAACAAGTCGAGAATGCTGTTCAACAGCTTTCTGTTTCTATTGTTACCAAGGCGGACCTGACGGGTGCCCTCAGCGCTGCCATGGAACAGCAATCCAAGGAGCTTCGAGTTCTGCTGGCCAAGCGGTCACCAGACGCAACACCAACAAATGATTCCAAGGCCCAGAGAACGGCCTGAGGTGATGACGTTCACCCCCAGCCTCGTGGTCTAGCCATATTATCTACGTACAGGGATGTGATCAATGACAGTTCATATGCTGGAGATCATCAAATCCAGGTGATCCACGAGGCTGGTGCCGCTTTTCAATTAGGTACAGAGAGGTTGACTACGACCTCCGTGCAATTCGATCGCACAGATGCACCGGGTCTATGGTGCAAAATTTGGGAGTGCTACATGCATGCTTGTGTATTTGATGTCGTCGAGCCCCCAGTCAGACTCCACGGTGTCTTTTGCTATTTCTCCATACAAGTTGATTGGAACTACCTCCATGGTACATGCGTCGGACAAGCTTCAAACCCAGGCCCGTGGTCTCTCCAGGTCAGCAATGTCGTCTCGGCCTCCAAACACATTGAGAACTTTGAGAATACTTCCGATTGCTATGTCTGGTCGGAGACCAATGCAACAGCAGCAGCACAATCCAAGATCCTCAAGGCTTCCAAGAAGTTCAAAGGTTCGGTTGTTTTCTCAGCCCCCGCAGCTGCTCGTCGACAGAATGGTACAACAGCAGTGGGCAGACAGAATTCCACAGGAACCCTTGTCATGTCGTCCACTAGGAGCTCTCCGTTGTCTGGGCAGTGGGACCCCCCAACCTTCTCGTCCGGGAGGATATCAGATTCCTTGCTACAAGTTGGTCCAGTACAAGTGCGCGTTATTGCTGTATATGGCTTTCATTCTGGGTTGACAGACGCTGCCCCTAAGAATGACATTCTGTTGGGTAAGGCTTTTCGACAAGCTGATTCTTTTGCTATCCCTACCATTATTGCCGGAGACTTCAACTGCGCGCTATCTGATTTGCATTCCTGGCAGGCTGCTGTAGCTCGAGGTTTCGTTGATGTCGCCCAACGGGTAGCTTCACTTCATGACCAGGACCCAGAACCAACCTATAAAGGAATCAGCAGACTTGACTACGTGATCTGCAACCCATTGGCCGCTACTGCTTTCCAGGATATCCAAGTGGACCCCAACGGGTATACAGACCATGCGATCCTTACAGCAGTTTTCGATTGGAATTGTTGTCCTTGCAAGATCCCAACTTGGACCTTCCCGAGGGATTTAAAGAATGAGAAAGACACATTGGCACAGGTCCGAGCAACCGATGCCGACGCAACTCTGCAGCAGCTTTTTCTCCAGGCCATTGAGCAGGATGATGTGGATCAGGCTTTTGCCCTCTTTTGTCAGAGTTTCGAAGATAAGGTGGTCAGAGCACATCAGCAGGTTTGCAGTCGTCCTTTGTCTGGAGCCTATCTAGGCCGGGGTTGTGCTAGGCTAATCTTGCAAAGCCAGCGACATGTCACTGTGTGCCATGACTCTGCCACTGGCGTTGATGGGAAACAACTTTTGCAAAGATGCAAGCTCGTTCAGTGGCTCTTGGAACTTCAGTCTTTGCAGCATCGTGGGTTGAATAAGGCCAAACAAGTACAACTGTGGCAGAAGATTTTTCGAGCACCTGGTTTCTCACCAGACTTCCCAACTTGGCTTCTCCAGAATGATGTAGTCGACGAGGTCCCCTTCACGACACCGTCGCAGCTGTGGATTGATAAGGTTTGTTCTGTCTTATCGTATGAGAAGCAGCTCTGGCAGCAGGCGCACCAGAAAATCAAGCGAGAAAACCTCTCTAGATGTATGCAGCAGGACTGGTCCAAGGGTGGTCGGTTGCATGCAAGCGCCGTCAAACCGACCCCCCTGGGCACCTTGGATTCTTTGGTCAAAGAAAAGCCGCGAAATTTTAAGCTGTTACGATGCAAAAAGGGAGGACCTGTGCAACTACAGATGCTGGATGATGAGCCAACGCCCCCTGGTGCAGCGTTTGTGTTTTCCAACCAAGATCAGGTCATCCGATCAGAGGTTTCCAGGGTTAAGGGTTGTTATGTTGAGTTGGACGTCCCGGCAACAGCTGGGATAGCTGGGGCCAAGCTGGTCCAGGAGACATGGACAACAGATACCACATTCATTGCTGGGCAGGTCCAGACTTTTTGGAAGAAGTTTTGGCAAACCAGCAAACAACCAAACATGTCTGATGTTCACCGCATGGTACAGCAATTGCCGGAGATCCCCCAGTTCGATCCAACAGTGTCGGTGGCGGAGATTAGGGATACCATTCATCGTTTGGCTGTTGGCAAGGCCAGAGGAATGGATGGCTTCTCTATGGCCGAGCTTAAAGCGATGGGCGAACAAGAGCATGAAATGCTTGCAGCTATGTTCAACTGTGTTTTGCGCACAGGCCGGTGGCCGCAAGGCCTCACTAGCTCCTTTGTATCTCTGCTTGCCAAGGTTCAGCAACCGAGGACGCCCAAAGATGCTCGACCGATCACAGTGTTGCCGACGCTATATAGGCTGTGGGGAAAAGTCATTAGTCAAAAAATCTTTCAAGCAATCCTGCCAAGCCTCTCATCAGACTTGTACGGGTCTGTACCAGGGAAATCTGCAATTGACGCGGCGTGGGAACTCCAAGGCCTTCTCGAAGAGGCATTGGACCAGGACCAGGAGAGAGTTGGGGTTTCCCTTGATCTATCCAAAGCTTACAATACCATTCCCCGACAAGTGGTTGAAGCTTTGGCAACAAGATGTGGTTGGGCCCCAGAGCTCACGCGTGCGTATTTGGGTTTTCTTGATAACCTTGAGCGGTATTTCAAAATCCATGAGGGTCTGCATGCCCCAACAGGTTCCTCCACTGGCGTCCCAGAGGGATGTCCCATCGCTGTACCGGTCATGATTCTCATTACATGGATGGTAACGTTGGAGGTCACATCAGAAGAGCCTTCCAAGAGGCTCATCAGCTACGTTGATAACTGGACCATGACGGCAGCTTCAGTGCCCCAGCTCTGCCCTATGCTCGACAAGATGCTGCAGGCCACGGATGCTCTGGCTTTGCTCTTGAATCCGGAGAAAACCAGGGCCTTTGCCACTACTTCTGCAGCTAGAGCCCAGCTCGCAGAAACACAATTTGGACAACACAAGTTGTCAGTTGTTCATACGCACGATGACCTGGGAGTTGTCTTTTCCTCTACCCACAAGAAGAGCAGCTGTAGCGTGTATCAACGTCTTGAAAACAATCAAGCGAAGTTGTCCAAGCTTCGGGTCCTACCATGGTCGGCAGGTCGTAAAGCCCAAGTTTTGGCAAGAGTCGTGGCGCCAGCTATCTTGTATGGTGTTTCCCTGGCATCCACTTCCCCATCATGCTTGGCTACTCTGAGAGGCAAATTTTCGACATCTATCTGGGGGTTACATCATCATAGAGACCACTTTCTGGGGCCTATCTTTGGACAGGCCAAGAGCTTTGAACCCTTCTTGCTCATCTTTCAGATCCGCCTGCGCGACCTGCGAAGAGCCGCGCACAGGGACAGCACGGCCACGACTGCACGATGGAATGCCGCACGGACTTCTCGGAAGTCTGGAGGCATGTTGCATTACATGATGGACATGATTGACCATCTGGGTTGGCAGGTCCTTGATGATTGCTCTGTTGTTACTCCGACTGATCAACACATTCGCTTGTGCCATCATGACACAGAGAGGATTTTGCAATGGGTGAATGAAGCTTGGTTCCGTGTTGCCGCTAGTAAGGTTGTGACAAAGGATGGCCTTGGAGATATCGAATCAATTGATTTGACTTTCTCACAGACAATCCGTAAGCAGATCAAGATCCCTCAGCACATTACGGCGGCTTTTACAACCAATGCAGCAGTCCACTCGCGTCAAAAGCGCAAGTTTCTTGATGATCAACAAGCTATGTGCAAATTTTGCGGTCAAGAGGATACACAGCGGCACCGTTTGTTTCAGTGTCCTGGCCTATCGCAAGCTAGACAGGACATGCCTTTGCAAGAGATGTCTGAATATCCCCAGTTACTTCTCGAGAGAGGATTGTGTAAGAAACCGCAGGCTTTTGTGGCTTGGGAGCTGTCTGTCCTTGATATCCCTCCACCCAAGTGTCAAGAAATCTTTGATGAGCATGTGCACTTGTTCACTGACGGGTCTACGGATGGTGTATTGACTGTTCCGTGTTCCTCTTGGGCTGTGGTTCTTCAAGAGCCGCATTGCTTCAATAGGGCAGTGGTTGCATCTGGCCTTGTACCGGGCCGGCAGTCGAACTATAGAGCAGAACTGTATGCCACTATCGTAGCTGTGCAATCGGCTGCGAGTGCGACCGTCTACATTGACAACCAGGCCGTTTGTGATGGATGCAATGTTTTGAAGACACGTGGTTGGGTGGATGTGGTTTGGGACAAGAAGGCTGAGTTCTCACTGTGGAAACAGCTTGCTCTACTGTTACATGGGCGCAGTCAGCAATTTTCATTTATTCATGTTCGGTCTCATAGGGATGTGAACAAGCAGTCCTCAGACTTCTTTGCTTGGACAGCAGCTGGCAACAATGCTGCTGATGAGGAAGCTAAGCGTGCCAATCGGCTTAGGCCACCCGAGCAGACCCGTCTCTTGAAGCAGGCGCGCCACGAGTGGCGCAATCAGGTGACGCGTTTGCAGAATGTAGCGACACTTCAGCAGAGTGTCATGCTCTCACAGGCAGGTAGCTCTGTAAAACCTGCGTCGGCACCTGCCGCCAGGTCTTGCAGTATCACTTTCGGTGGGTCTGTCTCCTTCTCTAGTGATCCTGGTGATGATTTTTCAGATGCTCTGCTTGGGCCGCGCTTTCTTTGGGTTTTGGCCTCCTGGTGGGACCAGCAGCAATGGTACATTTCTGAAGAGGGGTACAGTATTGCTGAGTTATACTTCTGTTTTGCTCAATCAGCAGGCTGGAGTGCACCGCAGAATATTGCCTTGTTCAAGGAGGGTTCTTTGCCATTGCAATGGAAGTCCAAAGCCAAGACAGCTTTTGTGTCAGCCAATGACTATCCGGACTTGCAGTTCGCAGAGGCTGCTTTTTCGAAGCAGGTTACCACTTTTTTGCATAGCACCAAGTTCTTGGCGAAGCGCTTTCAATGGGATCTGGGTTTCCATAGAGGGGTCTCCTTGGCTTTTTTGGATTGTCATGATGCACAGAGCTCTATTCGGGTAATGCCTGGGTGTGCACTACCGAACCGCGAAGCCTTTCAATCTGCTGTGGGTTCTCTGTCTTGGAAGCAGTTCAATGCTCGACCATTTCGACACAGATGTGCAGATCCGATTATTTGTCCATTGAGGGTGTCCAATCCACTCGAAACATGGAACAGGTACTACTCTGTAAGACGCAGAGCTCGGAGATAGCTTCACAGGCAAAGCTCACCTCC